CATTTGGATTTAGTATTTCTCTAACGATAGTTAAAAGATTTACGTTAAACGAGCATCTTCGTTCTTTATCATTTTTTTTGTCTTTTATCCAATCAAAAAATCGATAATCCTATAGTTTTTTATTGGTTAAATAATAAATAAAATCGATAAATCCAAACGTGAAAACATTTTTAACGCATGTTAGAGGAAGGAATCAAACCAAACGTTTTTATAAACCATATTGGTTATCCGTTGATGAATGGTTATACAATGGTGGTCCTTATGAACTAATTGTTCTACACTTCTTACTTGGTGTAGCTTGTTACATGGGTCGTGAGTGGGAACTTAGTTTCCGTCTGGGTTTGCTACCTTGGATTGATGTTGCATATTCAGCTCCTGTTGCAGCTGCGACTGCTGTTTTCTTGATCTACCCAATTGGTCAAGGAAGCTTTTCTGATGGTATGCCTCTAGGAATTTCTGGTACTTTCAACTTCATGATTGTATTCGAGGCTGAGCACAACATTCTTATGCACCCATTTCRCATGCTAGGCGTAGCTGGTGTATTCGGCGGCTCCCTATTCAGTGCTATGCATGGTTCCTTGGTAACCTCTAGTTTTATCAGGGAAACCACAAAAAATGAATCGTTATCTTGTAATTTCGAAACTGTAAAGATAAGAAAAAGTGTTATTTTTAACAAAACAGATAGACCAAATTTATGTATACTATATTATAAAGCATTTGACAAAAACTCTTAAAAACCATTCTTTATGCATGAAGTACTGTGTATTAATGCATATTACTTAAAATTTAATATTACAAGTAAATTGTGCATAAGTACAACTTATTAAAGTTTAATTTTTGAATTCGTATAACTAACTATAGATAAACATAGATAAACATTTCATTTTAAATATAAAAAATCTAAAATATAATTAGGATAATCATTAAGTTGTAACAGAATCATTATATTTATAAAATTTTATTGTACCCCAAAATTAAATTACTTTACTAAATCGTAAAAACATTATTTTTTTCAAAGTCATATAAATCGTATTACATTAATAAAAATAAAAAACAAAATAAAATATTAAAATAAAAATATATTTCATTACATTGTACGAATAAGCTCTCTAAAAGTATTAAAATACATCTTATTATATCCCATCTTGGATCTTAATTTGTTTTTAAATGTCGACCTAGTATCACATGTCCATTTAAAATATCCACCCCATCATGTGGGGTAGGTGACACTGAATGAGGGGGGTTATATGTAATTATTGAAAAGTAAAGGGTAGTGTTATGTAACATCAATGAGCACGGCACCAGGGTGGAATCTCATGTAGAATATCCGGTAGTTCCGTGGGTTTGTGCTCATCAATTCGAATATGCTATAAACTACCAAATGATTGATAATTTGTTTTTTATTTAATGTGAAAAATAATAATAAATTATTTTCGATCAATAATAAATTAATAAAAAAAAAACTGGATTGGATAATTCCAACTCATTTACTTAACAACGTATTTATCTCTGTGTTTTCGAAATCGTTTTTATGAAGAAAAAGAAAGATAAAGAATGCAAAAAATCGTGTTTTTTAAGGGGAAAGAAAATACTGATAAATTTTCCTCTAAAATATGGGAGGAAATGAAAGAGAATAAATTGAAATTCTTTCAACAAAATTATTAAAATTACAAATATACTATATTATAAAGTACTTAATCAAAACTTTTAAAAATCATTTTTTATACATGAAGTACTGTTTAGTGATGCATATTACTTAATATTTAAGATTACAAGTAATTTTGCTTAAATATAATTTATTAAATCTTCATTTTTAAATCCGTGTAACTAATTGCAAATAAATATAATCAAATACAGGATGAATATTTATTTTAAATATAGAAAATCTAAAATA